CTTAATAAATCTGATTCTGCTGAAAGCAGAATATTTGAGATGCAGAAGCTTTTGAAGTCACTAGAATAACATGGAAAGCACAAGAAGAGTTACCTGGGTAATTTACACCCCTTTATCAAAGTATAATATTCCTCAATGATGCTTATTAGCATGTAATGGAGATGCATTCTATGGAATTCTGTAAGACTTGACTCAACTGGGGGAAAAAATCAGTCTAAATTAAAAGAACAGAGGTGAAGTAATTTTTAAAAGATATATTAATATATTTCAAATATATGCAACACTATCCCCTAATTGCTAACAATGTGTCTGTAAGAATTCTGTTTTACTTATTTTACAGAATTGATTTTAAAATTCCTTTTTGGTTAGTAACATCATCTGTTTAAATGTAGCTTACAGATACAGTGTTCTTCCTATGTATCTACCACAACAGAAGGGCTCTCCCCTCCTAGATCTCAGAATCCAGTTTAAGAAACAAGGCCAGGTGATACAAAATAATTAACATAAGAAAGTCTTCAAAGAAGGTGAGTTCTCTTAAATAGGTTAAACAGTACCTCAATTTTTAGTTACTCTGTATATTTGCTCAGAAAATTACTTCTTTGAGATGATTAGATGTTAGAGCTCAATCCAAGTTCAACTGAATAATGGAAATTAGGAGCTCTCTCTCCTCTAGGCCTTCCCCAGCATTCTCTTCAACTATAAATGTACTATAATCTATGAACTTGCATACTAGTTTTGTCCTGTGATCTCCTAAAGACTCCTTAAAGTATCCTCATACTCAGGGCTCAGTATAATGACTAGCATATAGGAGATCTTTAGTAAAGAAAAAAAAATTATTTCATGAATGCTTTGTCTCCTTCCCTCTTTATTTCATATACTGTATGGTACATTAAAATCTGAATTGGTAAGCCTAGAAATGGTGGGAATTTGATCAAGTCACTGAAGCCTATTTCTCATATCTTCATTTCCTATTTCCACATCCCCAATTCAGTAAACCATTCCAGTAATTTCAACTTGTTAGGCAGCTATTTTGCACATCCTCTGAGGAATTATTTGTTATCTAATTGCTCATTCACATCCATAGTCTAGCTAGTGCTTCTCATATGACAATGATCCTGATACTGAGAGCATCTTACATCCTTTATTATTTTCCAAAAGGACAAAGAAAGATTACCTCTAAGTTTCATTGTCTGTGTTATATTTAAAATGGCATCCTAGACCATATCATGGGAATAGAAACCACTGGCAAGGACTCCAAAATTTGTATGAATCTCTAAATATTTTAAGTCCATCTTGTCTGCAGAATAGTAGAACCCAAAGAAAGACAAGCAATTTCTAAGTCTATTCTTGGGCCTTTCTTTATACTTCAAATTTTAGAGAATTCCCATCATAAAAACCTTACAATGATTTGTCTCTTCCTATGCTTGGGTCTTTTCCATGTGCAAGGTTCTATGGTGGCCTCACATAAGAATCTCTTTAGATGTCTAAGCATCACTTCTATCTCTGATACTTGCAGTGAAGAAATCCAATGGTAGGCAACGAGGGGACTGGCTGACTCTGTAAGGCTCAATGACACACTACATGATGATAAAGTTGAGTCGGTGCTCTCCAGTCCAGATTCAAAGAACATAACTTCACTAAAAGAGGCTGGCTTGTATTATCAGGTGATTGTAAACATTTGGCCATCTATAAACATTCTGATATTAGAAAAAAATGTAGACCAAGGAAATTTGGCACAAATAGAAATAATACCTCTCCTGATCTCAATTCACTATTATAACATGAATTAAGTGAAATATATCCTGATTCCTCTGTTAATGGGAAGGAATCTCAGAAAATCTAAAACTTTGATTTATGTAGGAAGTCATTTTGGCTGCCTTTCTGGTCACATTTGTCCTAGACTAACAGTATTTCCCCTTCCAAGACTTCAGCAAGGAAGAAAGAACAGTACGAACTTACATACAGAGAATTAAAAGAGCATATTTTTGTACAATGACACATGCTTTTATACTTTTTTGTAATGGGATTCTACTATCATTTTTTATGGAATCCAGTCACAAAATACTTTTGCTATTTAGCTACCTGACCCTCTTGAGTAAGAAGTCTGACTTTAACTCCAAAATATTTAATATTTCTAGTTCTAAAGCTTTTCATATTAATATCAAATGTCTTCAGCTCAAATAGTATGTTTGTAAGGTTGTCATTAGGAGCTTTTTCTGCCTCATACATCCTCTGTTTATTCATTCATTCATCCTGTCTTTCATGCCATCTTTCATTGTGTTCAACCCCTACTAGGCACGGCACTTTTTCCAGGCACTGAGGATACAACAGTGAATAGCGACACTCCCCATTTTAACGTTAGCCAAAAGTTAGGAAATGAAAGGTTTTAGCCCACACATTAGCTTCCCTAGAGCTTTAGATAAAATCAAGTACACCTAAATCAATGAGTTCTTATTAAATACTTAATGTGCCCTGGGGCCGGTTCTCAAGATTATGTCAGTTTAAAAGTTCTAACAAATCTAAGGTAGCTATGGCAGGTATTGCTATCACTCTGTTTATGTTGTTTCACTATTTTGCAGAAACTACCAAGAACATTAAGCATCTGGCAAAGGATCCAGGACTGGGAAAACTTGAAACTTATATTATCTCAGTTTCTGAATCCCATAGACTACAACCCAGGGATCTCTAACACTCTAGCACAGAATGAAGCAAAACGTATTATATTCCTTTTATTAAATGCATTAATAAAACTGATTAGAGTTGGGGGCACCTGGGTGGCTCAGTCAGTTAAGCATCTGACTCGATCTCAGCTCAGGTCATAATCTCACGGTTTATTGGGTTCAAGCTCCACATTGGGCTCTTCACTGACTGTGTGGAGCCTGCTTGAAATTCTCCCTCCCTCTCTCTCTCTGCCCCTACCCTACTTGTGCTCTCTCTCTCTCTCTAAGTAAATAAGTAAACTTAAAAAATTAAAAAAGAACTGCTTAGATTTTACCACTAGAAGACAAGGACATTGACATATTCTTGATATTCATAGTCAAAGTATAAAACTCATATTACATAAGACCAAGAAGGCACTTGCTAGTTCTGGAAGTAGAATTGGTTTTCCCTTCTAGTACATCAAAAAGTTTTATTTAATCCAAAAATAAATACATACAATTATTTTTCACAGTGTCTTACTGAGAAATTAGGGCAGCTTTAGGAAATCCTGTCCTCAAGAGATCACATCAGAAAGACCAACATCCACAGTATCCAACCAAAAGAAACAACATAATCTAGAGCAGGGATCTGAAAATCTTTTCTGTAAAAACCCAGACTCCTTCACATCCATTTTAGGCTTTGCAGACAGTACCGTCTCCCTCACAATTACTCCGTTCTGCCTTTGTAGAGTGAAAACAGCCATAGACAGTATGCAAATAAATAAGCATGACTGCATTCCATAAAACTATTAAAAAAAACAAAAACAAAAACAAGCAGCTAGCCACATGTGGCCATAGTTGGCCAACCCATGATCTAAGTAGATCTGTATTCTGAGAAAATGTAATATTTCTCATTTGTATTTAGTTTCTCATTTCTATTTTATATCTTATCAAATACTGAGATAAACTTAAGCATATACCTTAAACAATGGAAAAGATAAATTTTTCATTAGGTATCATTTTTAATAAAGAAGTTCTGATGAAGAATATCCCCCCAAAAAAACATTTAAATGCTATTTTTTTCCTATGTTGATAGGCTTTTAATCCTTGTTCTACATTGTATATCACTCTCCTTTGTTTTATATACAGTATAGTGAGTACAGTTTAAATTTTTCTTACTGCTTTTCCTTAATCTCCCTGAACTGTATAAAAAAAATATTCTTAGGGTCACTTGAACTATGTAGGGACATGCCCTACATCAGTTGGCCTCAATCTGCAGTTTCTTTCCAGTTGATATGTCCATTACCATCATTATCCTATATATTAGCTGTCAATGTCAGTGTGTGTCTTTCTACTAATCCCTTCTATGTCCCTACTTCCTTTCACCAGAGCTCCTTGCATGAAGTCAGCTCTCAACTGAAAACTGAATGAGGATTGAAAGACCCACATAACCTAGCTTCAGGAGTTACATAGAAGTAATCATGAGCCCAGTATTAAGTCCCCAGCCCTTTGAGGGAGGCCTACATTCCTCTTCTGGGAACATGGACTTTACAAAGGCTATTTTCCCCAATACTCAAAAGCTTGCCATCTTATTTCTTGTTGTTGTTGTTGTTGTTTGGCTAGGTTCCAGAACACAAAGTTACTGGAAAATCTGATTAACAGGTAAATGAGGAGTTTTCTTAGTGTAGTAATACCTCTTTATTTTCAAAGTACTTGTAAAAACTGACATGAGCATATTCTTTATTGATTTTACTGCTTAAATTTACTCTGTTCCACTGTCACTAACTTTGTCTAAGATAGTTTAGCAGAAGGATCTCATCCTGTACCACTTAAGAATCTTCTAGGGGATCAATGGAAAACAGCAAGCCCCAGGTCTCACCCTGTAGTTTTCTAATCATTAAGTTTGGGAGACAGAGAACAGGCATTAGTCATTTTTGGTTTGGTTTTGTAGTGTCTTAAGATTCACAGGTTGTTTCTCAAGTTAATCAAAGGCTAAGCACCCCTAGATTCCTATATCCACTTTCTTTTAGATGCCTGCATAAAGAATAAAATATGGAGTGATTTACACAGATACTCTTCTCTTTTGTGGCACAAAATTTTGCACTTAATAAATGTGGAATTATCCAAGGACTTTAACTTGCTCTTCTTCGAAGAACGCCCTGCAAGTTTAATTACACATGGCTGCATTTCAAAGTATACACTTTTTTTGATGATCTCACCATGTGGAAAACATAGTAAGACTTTAGCCTTCAGTGTTGAGATCTTTTTTTCACTTTTTCTGGGTCAACTCTTGTGTCTTAAATGACTGTTTTTGGTAACTGTGAAATCACGTGAATGTTATTGTCTTTCTCTTGTTCATAGCACCAGAAGAATGGGCCACAACCCGCTCCAGCCTGAAGGCACCACCGCCAAGGTCAGCCAGAGGGGGATACAGGGAGCACCCCTATGGTAGATATTGAAGGTCCTTCTCACCCGTGACCTCACCTCAAAGACAATTCATAGCCTGTGGTCTCCACATAAACAGCAACAAGACAAGTAATAGTCCTTTTTTTTTTTTTTTCTTCCTATTCTAGGGATAACTGCTCATGATTTCTCCCATATATTTCTTGTATTTCCCCCTATACTGTTGGCGTGACATTGACACTAGTATTATTTTACAAAACGGACTAAAAAAGACATTGGCAAGCACTGTCTATAAACCATTCAGTAGGATGATATTCTCCTGGTTGTTTTTCATTGTTGTGTGTAATCTTTTTTTTTTCTTTTTTTTCTTTTCCTTTTTTTTTTTTTTTCTTAAGAAAGAGCATGAATCTGTTAACAGATTTTGAGTCTCAATCAACTAGCAAAAACTTTGTTTAGGGTTGCTAAAAGACTGTAATATGATTTTTGAACTAGCTGATAATAAAGTTGTAGATAAGATGTTTTAACCTGTCTTTTAATATCTGTTAGTTAGATGAAGATGTTCGATATTAAGTTTGTAAATTTAATTTTAAATGCTGTTTTAATGGAGTTGAAAACAAGCAGCTACTGTATGTATGTAGCTAACTGAATTTGTTCAGTGTTTTAACCTGTATTTGTTAAAAAAGAAAAAAAAAAACACACACATAAAGTTCCATGTGTAAGCTACTCTAAATAGGAAACCACAATTTGTCAAATATGTTTGCCATAATTTGTCAATAAAGCTGAAAACTTTTGTAAAAACTAAATTTGGAATTACTTGTTTTCTAGCTTTAAATGCCTGCTTTATTTCTTCTTCAAGAGATGCCTAAAATGTTTTCTATTTAAAAATTACAAAAATGAACCCAAGCCTGTTTTAAGATATTTGTGTAATACTTAAAAACTGTATTAATAACTTATGGTTGTTAAATAATTTAAAAGTTAACAAACTAAACTGTTACATGAATCATGGTTAGTAAACACTAATGTATAACATGTTAATGGAAAAAAATGGATTTAGAATAATAAATGGATTTTAAACTATCCTCTAAGCTTTATCTTGCTAAACACAAATTCTGATTGACTTGTTTGCATTAGCATGTCTCTCGTGAGAAAGAGTAATGGAGTATAAAGAGGTAAGAGTACCACTTACCACTGTCTAAATGCCTAGTTCTTCAACCTTTGAGTTTCCCCGCACATTAAATATCCCATCCAACATGTAAGCATTGCGTAGATTCACTTTATTGTTTTCACTCAAAGGAGTGCGTGGACTTCATTTGCGTAGTTTATAACAATTTGTTTTGACAAACAAATCATCAGTGTCACTGGCCAGTTGTTGCTATTCAACCTCAAAAACTTTATTTGTAATTTTCAGTGCTAAATATCACCGCCCTTGAAGGCAGTTTAGAGGGCTGATATTTCTTTTGAGACTATCAGACTTGATGGCTGATGATTATTAAGGAAATATGTCGCAGGACTCAAAGGATGACTAAACGTTAAACAGGTAACACTAATAGTAACTCTGTAATTTTGCCTATGCAACAGTAATGTTAAATATTCTCAGTTATTAAGTTCCTGATAGTTAAAAAAGTAAACCTACAAAAACTTAACAAATAGGTCTATAGGCTATTAAAACAACTAATTAACATTAACTAGAGGCACCAAAATTATTTTACAATATATAACCCTCAAGGTAATAAACAGAACTAAAATTAACAATAATAGTAATGCAACTCTTGCTAACATCAAACGTAATCTAAATTTTGATGGAAAAAGAAAGCAAAAGACTTGATGGTAGGGACGAATGCCAAAACTGTTCATCTTTTAAATACAGTTTTTTTGTTTATGGTGGCTTTTGTCGATGTGATTGGTTTACTTTTTTGCTGCTAACCAGCTTAGGCATATTGCTGTTCAGTTTTTGCAGCTGGAGTTGCATGCTAATAGTTTTATGAAGTGTGTGTCTGTCATTGATTAAAATTGTAAATGTTTGCCTTGCACAAAATGCTGTTGAGTTATATTTAATTTTCCTTTTTTATTCTTTCTCACTATTTCAGGTATCCACAAGCAAAGAGCACATAATTGAATAGCAGATGTGATGGCCTAAGAAGGATAGAGGTAAGCTTATTTTTTATCCTCTCCGAAATAGGGAGATAATCTTTACCAATACGGAGCTATGGCAGTGAGCTAGGACACAAAATGCCACTTGTTGAAATACTGAAAAGGTTGAGACTGTTGTGAAGGAATGGAGTTATTTTTATCTTCTTTGAAATAAAGAGATCTAACTTGGTATTTTCCTGGCAAGGCTTTCTGAGCTTATTCAGAAGCTTGTCAAATGAAACGTGAATTAGTTGTTAATCTTCAGCCTTTTTCTTTGCTACGAATTACTGTATATTGCCTTTCCCTAACTGTATGAAGGAAGAGTATTCAAACCTTTAATCTGCATTTAAGAGAAGGAAATCACAATTGTTGGCTGAGATGGAGGGAGTGGGAAAGGGAACCCCATAACCAGCCTCTCGCCTACCTTTTGTCAATGAGATAATATTTATTAACATGAACATTTATTTAGTCAAATACAAAAACTAAACTTGCTCTTATTTTCCCCAGTTATTTCACTGGACTTGTCAATAAACTTCTTGTTTCTCACCTGCCATTCTATTTGATTCAGCAAATATTTACTGAATCCAAAGCGTTATAGGAAATTGAGACTTAATTTCTGTGCACAAGTAGAAAACTTTAGCCAATAAACCTCAGACTGAAAACAATGTAAGGGCAGTTATGAAATCCACAGACTGACTTGAGGCTCAGAGAATTGAAATGGCCTTGCCACAGCATTTAAAATAGGGGTAAAACCCCAAATTTCTCCTTCTGGGCCTGGTCTTCTTTTTACTACACAAATATCTATAATACCATGTAGCCTTAAACAAGTGCCATAGGAGCAGTATGAGAGAGCCTGGAGATATCTTTATGACTAAAGGTAGGACAGAAACTAAGGGACCCCGAGATGAGAGGGGTAGCCTGTCCATTGATGAGGATCAAAGCACCACCTGGTGAAGGGAATAGGCTGTGTAACTTCATGGAGTCCAAAAAGTTCAGGAAGTGTTTGAAAGGAAAGCAATGGACCCTGAGATCCAGATTCATGAAGGCACAGAGGTAAGGTCAAATCAGATGGCTGTCCTTGAGTGCTATGTTAAATTGTTCAGATTTTATGCGAAAAATAGAAGGAAGCCACTTTTGGTTTGAAGTAAATAATCAGAGCTAAGGGAAGTATCCCAAAGAACCACGGCAAACCACACTTTTTAGTCAGTTTTATAATTACTAACTGCCTCTTCATCTGGGAGAACTTTTCTAAAAATTCAAACTGTTAAGATAACTATTTAAAACTGCAGGTGCTTCAACTAATCAAGTCCCTTTGTTAAGCCACAGAATGAAAGATCAAAAGTTACAGAGAATACAATTCTGAAATTTCCTTTCTCAGTAACATTCCATACCTGATTTGACTCTTTAAAAATGTTACTGTTTTTATAAACCAAGGGGAGAAAGAGTCTCTAATCCAGATGTCCTGCATAGTATTCTCCTTTGATCCTTTTCAAACAATAGGCTTGATCTTGTAAAGCAATGAAAGAGAAACCAGTCACTGTCTGTTATTAGTTTGATATATTCATCAATATGTTTTTGTGTCCACTGGAATTCTTTTATTATTGCTGTTGTTGTTTCATCACCCTGTGGCTTTCTCACCATTCAGGCTATATCTTTGAATGCATTAACTCAGGGCAGGGCTGTCAGAGCAGAAACATCAGTGCTGATCAACAGAAGAGAACATTCTTGGCTGCTGAATTAAAAAGTAAGAGTTTGTAAAGCACAAAAAAACATGATTTGTGAGAAAGCTGATTTTGAGTTTCAAAAGCCTGCATTTTGAGTAGGCTTTAACTAGCACATAAAGTTATGTGTTAATAGTAGACTCCAATCGATCAATCAATCAGCGATTCATCCACCAAACTTTGACTCTTAAAATAATCAGAAGTGAATATAGTAGGTTTCTCCAGCAATGGGGAATGATAATTTCCCTAAGTTAGTGGCCTTTTAGCAGAAACCTTTGATAGAATGAAACTGTTCAGAGTGCCCAAAGGGTGCCTTCTTCTCTTGTCAGTATCCCACAGTGATGCCCCATCCCAACGTCATCCCTTCATGACATCACATCTGCTCTTACTAGTTTCAGACTGCTGGCACCCAAAGATGGCAGGCAAGAGCTACCTTGCCATTGATATACAAACATTCTCAAGTCTGACATTCACTTCTGCAAGTCATATAAACTTGCATGGCAAATTAAGGTTTATAAATGATAGTGCATTCCATGTAAGTGCAGCTTGAAGTTATCCCTGTGTATGTTCCAGCATTATTCAGATAATGCTGGAACTCTTGGAACAGTGATGATCCTATGACAGGTAAGAACTCACCAAAACACCAAAGGTAGCTAGCTTGGACACTAAACAAAATATTATAAATAGTAATAATAGCATTAATATGGAATAAGGTCTTTGTGCCTGCTATTTGTCCAAAAGAAAGTTTTACTACACTCAAGTATGATTCAATCAGAATCAATCTGATGCAATTTAAGAGACCAAATAGTGCTTTTAGGTCTTCTATGTACTATTTAGATCATTTTTATTTTCAGTATATTAATGGAACTAAGGCCATTTAGCTTAATAACAATTGAAGCACTAACAGTTTTTAAATAAATTTGACACAAATGACATATTAAAGGTTCCCATGAATTCTTCTCAGGGAAATAGTTTGTTTTCAAACTGTATTATTAAGAAATTATTCTTGTGCCTTTAGTTCTTCAACTTAAAAATAAACCATTGTGAAAACCACAAATGTCCCTTAACTCTACAGCATTCTCTCTCATTATCTCTATGTCTCTTGGTTAACATAATATAGAAGTTTATATGTTTCTGGAGTGCCTGGATGGCTCAGTCAGCTAAGTGTCTGACTTTGCCTCAGGTCATGCATGATCTCACAGTTG